AATGGCCAGGTGGCAGCTGGTCAAAAAAACCACCACAGAGCAGTGGAAGGCCCAAAAATCTTATCTCTTTCCTTGTTTCTTAGTACCTTGATTGGGCTGTTTGGAACATGTCAACCTTAAAGTGAAGAAAGTCATTAGTAAGTAGATTAACTCTTGTTCCAAGGCAGATTCATTACGGCAACTTAACTTTTGTAATGTAAATGATTTGGTGTCTTGTCTGAATGCAAAGCACTTTATGGCAAACAAAATGTATTTTGTGCAACAAGCTTCTGTAAATTAATCCTTAGTGAATGTTGGTGGGGCTATAACTAAAGTTTTTGAAACAAGGATTCATTTGACCTCTGTTCACAGGAAGAGAACTTGTATATATTCTATAAACAAATAGATCACTCTGGAACAAAGCTCAACTCAGACTTAACAGGCTTCCAATGGAAAAAAAAAAAAAAACAACTTAGATCTTTTTGTACTTCGTTACAACTTTTTTGGAGAAAGGGCTCGGAGGGGATGTACCTAGTCACAGAATCCAGCCTTCTGCTATCACACGCAGCCATATCATAGCCTTCTCCCTCCATCACTCCCCCTCCCCCAAACTTATCATCAAGCTCGATCCCAAGTAGGATTTTTGCCCAGGTTACTAGAACTGGGAAGCTGTTCCACAGCCTCACTCTGGTGATTTGTTTCTAATTTCCAGCCTAAATTTATTCATGACCAATTTATCCCCATCTGTTCTTGTGCTAACATTTTCTTTTAGCTCAAATAGTTCTTTTCCCTTCCTGCTGTTTACCCCCTGATGCATTTATAAACAACAATCACATGCCCTCACTCTTCATTTTCTAGGCTAAACAAGCCAAGTTCTTTTAGTCTCTTCATATCAGGTAGACTATCCTTTCTCTTGATGGTCCTAGAAGCCTTTCTCTGCACCTGTTTAAGAAAGGTAGATTCAAACGTAGGTGCCAAAAACGGTACACATGCCAGACAAGGTTTCTCCAGTGTCTTGTGATTGGAAATACCAAGCCCAATGCATCCTACAGACACATTCTGTTTCCTGGGTGTCTTAATTTTGACTCATTATTATCATGCTATAATTGGCTGGTACACTCAAGTCTCTCTGTGTTATTTTCTTGCCTATCTTTTAGTGGAGATCATTGTTATTAGTTTCTAAGTTCATGATCTGGCGTTTTGCATCCCTTTTCTATTAGTCCACCTTTCAAGCTCATCCATTTCTCTCTCTCCGTTATTCTGAGTGATCATCTTCTGTACTGACATGGCCTCCCAACTTTGAGTCATCAGCACTTTTCATTTTTGTGCCAGCCATTAAGTGAGAATATTAACTAAAATTGGTCCCAAGAACAATCCTTGACTAACTACGCACCCCCCCCCCCGTTAATAAGGTTCTCCAGCCCAGTAATTTCCCTTATATGCAACCCACTGTTGTCTCTCCTCTAGTTACCCCTTACCCAACTTTCAATTCTTGTGCTTATTCCCCACTTTATCAGTACTTTCTCCATATCCACTGTATCAAATACTTTACTAAACTCATGAAATCTTGTAGTAGATATTTATGGAAGAAGTTGACTTTATATGAAACATTTTTCCAACTCTTTTTGATTAGAGGGAGACTTATACTTGCAGCATAAATGCTCATATATAACTGCCCAAAATAGCTTTGGATATAATAATCAAATTAAACATCCAACCCTGTTTCAGATCCATTGTCACTCACTCTGCTGACTTAATCAAGAAGTACAAATGTTCTGTGAAAATGAAAAAAAAAAATCATAAACAAGTTAACTGAATACTTGAGGGGCTTAGAAAGAAGTTTAGGTTAAGAATGTTTAGGGATCAGATGCCCCTTTAAGTTTTTCATATCAGTTTGATCAACTCCGGTTTACGAAGAAATCAAGCTATTTTGAAGGACCTAATATGGTCTATTAGGGTGGGGGGAGAGGACTTTTTAAACATGGAAAACTGGTATAGATCCAAAGAAAATATGAAAATTGGCTAAGTGACAGTTCAATATTGTCTATGCAGTTACATTTTGTAAATGTTTAGTCTTTTAACATATCTAACATTTTCTTGGGACAATACTTAATGGTTTTCTGCTCCAAAGTTGCATTTAAGTATATTTAGAGCCTGGCTTAAAACCAGCTGCCTATTTATGCTTTCAGTTTTGCTCCTGAAAATAATTGTGAAACTAATTAACTGCTGGCTAATATACTGGCACTTAAAAGTCTACCAGATTTGCAGGTGCAATCATATAGTTAGTTATTTAACAGCCAATTCCAGCATCTAAAGACATTTGAATGCGGGATTATTTATGGACCCAAAATTGAAGAATATATTTTTTAAACCCACAACATTAAGAATGAACCACCTTAAATATCCTGTTACTGTGGTACAACAGGACAAACTAGCCAGTTTAGAATTTTTCTGGTTTTAGGGAAAACCTGATTATCTGCATGTTCTTTTTGTGGTTTAATTTAGTTGTTATTTTAAAAACCAGGGTAATTGCCACCTGCTGTGTTAGATGCATCTAGTTTGTCTACGACTTAATAGCAATCTTAATTAAGCTAATTTTAGTCAGATTAATACTTCCATGTTTCAGTCCTGACTGTGCCTCATGCCACAGGGTACCAAATTATTAGTAACAGAAGAGAAAGTGCTAGCTTATAAATATTTTTGTCTGAAAAGTTTGTATTGTAGGCTAGATGATAATTTTTTTTCTGGGAATGGAAATAGATATAAACAATACCAGGTGATATTATTTCATCTGGGATATAAACTAAATGGAATATCTTCCCTAAAATTGTAAGATTTGGATCCGTATGTTGAACTGTTCATCATTTGGGAGAGACTTAGAGCCAGGAGTATGGTTTGACCTCCTATGGTAAGAGTGGCTACTGAGAAATTCACATCTGGATCCAAATTTCAGTTTCCCAACTCCCAGCCCCTTCAAAGTTTGGTATTTTCATCCTGATCAACTGGGAAAGGAATATGTTTCATATTAACTTCTCCAAGAGGTCTGAGAATAAGCATACTGTGAGAGGGAAGTGAGCAGGTCTTTAACATGTCAGCTTTTCCAAGGTAACTGCTCCAAAGGAGATGAAAGCCAGCTAGCAGTAGCTTAGTTTTTACTTACCAAAGGATAAAAGTGCATACATGAGCTATTACTCCAGAGCAACTGATATTGTAAAGCCAAACCCTCCTTAGCACACAGTAACTTGCTCATGTGCCTACTGTCTAGGGTTTTTTGTTAAGAAAACTGTTTTGATTTCATTTTATGTGAACTACTGCAAACTGAGGCATGTTTCAAGTTTAGCATCTGAACAAATACAAAAATCAAAACCCAAAGTAAGTGTGCTGCAGAAGTTCAGTTGTTCTGTTATTGATACATTTCCAGGTTAGAACTCTAGAACTAAACAGCTTGGACATCTGTTTCAAAATTATTCAACCATTGCCTGACCAGAATTGTTCACAAAACTATATGTTTTAGATACTATCTGTAATTTTTCTTTGCTCATCACCATTGTTAGAAAGAAAAAGTTGTTTCTGCAGTAAACAGTTGCTTCCTGCACAAAAACAACCTCTACCACCAACATTTAGGCACTCATCACACTGCAAAGGTTTGCTGACATAGTTGTGTCAGCCAAAGGTATGATCACCTACTGACAGATGTATTGTGCTGAAAAAAACCCATAGGATAGAGAGTTTTATTGCCAGCCTGCACTTTTGACCCGATAATTTATTTTTCTTGGGGTGGACTGAGGGCCTGCAATATATTACACCAGCAAAAATACCGTTCACACTTGGTGTTCACAATAGGAGTGCTGTTATAGTATATTGGTGTAGCTATACTGACAACATATTCCTACTGGGGACCTGGCTATAGGTCTCCACAACCTTAAGTGATATAATTTAACTAAAATACTTTTGTCTTAGAACTTTTCTCCAACAGGCAAAGGCAACTAGATTTTCTGGAGAATCCCGTTTGATCTGGAGCTTAAAATTTATATAGCATATTAAACTTTTATAGTGCTAAACTTTACATAGAGCAGGGCTATCCAACTTTTAAGTGCATGGGGGCATGTGCCCTGGCAGCCATTGTGGGCCACACCAGATAAATTGTGGACTACCCGGCCACATAGCACACAGATGTACTCTCCCCCGCACTGCTCCACATGGGCAACCTTCCCCCGAAACATTGCACTGCGCACCCACCCACTACTGCACTGCTGTACTATGTAGGCACGATCTCCACCTGCCCTGCCATCCCCACTCCCACTCCTTCCCCACCTCCCCACCCCTGGAGCCCTAGTCTCACCATCCCTGCCATCCACAACCCAGGCTCACCCTCAGCTCCTGTGCCGGACTGCTCTGCCCCACTCAGGGCAAGGGCAAGTAGCAACAATCAAAAGAGAGACCAGGAACTTGGAGACTGACTGCTTCTGCAGCTAGAGCAATGAGGAGAGCAGTGGCAGGGTGAAATCCCAGGGGCCATTATTTAAGCCCTTGTGGGCTACATGCAGCCTATAGGCTGCCAGCTGGACAGCCATGATAATACAAGGTAAACAACCAGAATCAAATTGCCAGAGATTTATTTGGCTGTTAGCAATTCTCACCCATTAGGTCTGGCTTGTTCCTACTTTACATCCTTGAACACTTTGTGCCAGCATCTGTTGCCTGTATTCCAAGGATCAAGATTTTTCCTTAGCTTGATTCTGAATAGAATTGGAGATGTGTATGTGTGTGCACCTATGCATACACGTGTATATAGCATATATTGTTTTTGGCTCCATTTTATCCAATTACTTCCATTTATATCCACCCTGGGAGATCACCCTTAAACCATGCCTTCTTTATCTTGGTACTTACAAAATCAAATATAGAAATACAAAATCAAATCAAGAGCCACATATTTCTAATCCATCAGTTAGGTAATTTTTTTTTCTATCAGGACTGAAATGCGGATGAAGACCACATAATATGTATTTTATACTCACTAATATAAATTGTTGGTGATCTTGTATGTTTCTTGGAATCAAATAGATATGTACTGATACACTCTAGAATAGGAGCAAGAAATAATAGAGGTAGGATGCTTATAACATTCATTGCTGCAATTGGCAGGAAAAATCCATTGAAGTTCAAGTTGGAATTCATGGTCTGGAGATAATATCCTGAAGGAATCTGAAGAAAGCAAAAACCCTCTTCATTAACATACTTGTTTTTGTATGGTTAAAATTCTAATATATTTGGAAACCTCTTCCAGATCTTGGTCCACACCTTTCTAGAAGAAGAGTACACAGAAAACTAAGCATTTAGAGATCTATTCACTAACCAAAGGGAAATGTCAACAGCAATAAACTATCTGATTACTCCTTAGATGCTACCATTCTCATCTTCTGCCAAGTGCTAACGTTTTACTTCAATTTCAATTGTGTGTCAGTGTAGAAATATATACTGATAAGGACCACTGCACATCAGCAATTCTTTCTTAGAACTGTCTGAAACCAGTAACTAGAAAGAGGCCTAACAATGCCAGTCCTCCAAAGCCATGAAACTAAAGTAGGTATATAAGATTAGATAAGTAAGAACTATGCAAGTAGTAGATGCTTTGTACTTCCTGTAGAACCTTACATTGTTTTTTTTTTTTCCTCCAAATGAAATTCCTCATCATAGTGGTCTATTAGATATTTTTACTATATCTGTATTTCACAAACATAGGGAGAGTTCCTCTATATGACACAGAACTATCCGTATCTCCATTTCAGTGACTGAAAGGGAGAAAAATTAGTTGTCTAGGATACATAGGACAGTTACAACTAAGTTGATACAGAATTCTGATCTCATCTCCTATTTTAATCTCTTTTTCTAACTCTTCTGCTCCTGCTATATGCTTGAGAACAAGGGTGACCCACTCAAACATGTCTTTTCTGATGAGCTCTAAGGAAATTTTTACTAGACCCACATCTAATGACCCAGTTAATTCTATGTATTTGAGTAGGCATCTGTGGATTTTTATAACCTTCCTTAGATGTAGGGTATTGTGATACCTGAAAACTTGTTTAAAATTTGTCCCAACCATGCAATTGGTCCAATAAATCGATTGCCCACAGAAATGCTTGCCTCTTGCATATTTCCTGGACAATCATGGCTACAATGTCATTTCAACGCTGTTAAAACTAAATAAATAAATAAAAAAAATTTATACCCCTCACCTACTGAAGAGGATATAAACTATGCAAAAAAAAATCCACGATAAACAAACAGTAGCTAAACTCCTTAAAGTCAGAAATATTGTCATGCAACTTATAGTTTGCATTTACCAATTGCATATGAGAATTGACATTTATTAATAGGAAAAATGTTATCAGCAGCATAACTCATAGGCCCAGAAACCAGTTGAGTTAAAAATACAGGGAAAGTACTATTAATCTTTACAGAAGAAATATTAATCGATAGCCTAAACTGAGGAAAAGGTTCTATGGAATTGAAATCATTGCTGCTTCCATCTCAAGTACAAAAATCATTGCTTTCTAAAAGTTTAAATGCTTTTTAAAAATATATGCCTGAATATTCTGATTATAATCAGTGTCACTAGATGTTCCATTTCACCTTATACTGGCTAGTAATGTCTAGTGTCAACTTTTTTTTTTTTTTTTTTTTTTTAAAGTTGAAGAGTAAGGATGTCTCAAGAATGAATGTCAATAATAGGAATATAATTAAGATAAGGCAGTGTAGGGTTTTTCTTAAGCAGGCTCTGCACTAATTTTAGCACCAATCAGTAAATATGGAACTCCAAGCTAGTTCAGTAATTTACTGTTATGCAAGTTGCCACAGGGTAAACTACCTTGAAAACTTCAGCTTAACTTGGAACATCCAGTCAAAAATTACTTTGAAGGAATCATGGAAACTTAAGTTGATTTGTATGACATTTACATTTCTATATTACTTCTTACCCAGCAGCAGAAATAATACAATAATAGTACTTAGGCTATGAAAGAATCATTTCATCCAGCATTGGAAAAAACAAAAAAAAAAAAACAAAAAACAAACAACAAAACACACACTCATTTCTGAGGGGACATATACACATACACCAGCAACAAACCCTCCCTCCAGAACAGTAAGGGTGATGAACAATTAAAACAATTTAGGGAGATAGAAAAACTCAAATTAATTCTCTCTAGCATCCTCAGACTGTGTAATGATATTTCTTGCAAGAGTGTGGGGTTTAAATTTTTAATATCTAAAGTACTCACATCCTCACTGAAAACAAAGCAAGTCCTCTATCACTGGACATTCGAACAAGAATGATTCTTAAACATCTAATAAGTTATCAATATTTCTTCTTGCATCACGCGAGGGCCCCTCCCAAATGTTAAGCAAGTTGGTTCTATATAGGTCAATCATGAGAGACTACTCGAGTCACTCTTTTGGCAACATAACTGATAAAAGTCATGTCTATATATAGTACAACATTAATATATTCAAAAACTTAATGGGAGTAGAGGGGAAGAGATGAGATTTAGGATTAAAAGCTGTTTACTTACCTGCATAATGCAAGTCCTATATAGAATTTGGAAGGCAAATAATGGAAAGAGCCTGACAAGTGATTTTGTGCTTTCCACATGAATCTCACTATACCAGCCACCATAGTTTTCTTTGGCATGGTCTAACCAGCTTGTCACATCTCCACAAATGTGGTAGTACCTCACACGACACATTTTCAGTGCATTAACAACTACCCCAAAAGTTGTCAGCAGAGGACTACCTGCGAATGATCAGAGACATCATGCATCAATGCACTTTATTTGCTGCCAAATGCAAGACAAGCCAAGTCTCTTTGAAAGAATGCAAAAAAAACAACACACAACTTGATATGATTTGCCTGGCTTATTTTCCAACTCACATAACAGACCAGATTTGTGCAAAAGCATTCAGTTTTAGGAGACAGCTTGAACATATGGAACCAAATTTGGTTACAACTTACACCCCAGAGAGTCCAACTATAGCTAAGCAACCTCTGCTGGGAAGAGAGGTGTTTTTCTTTGTTTGTTTTTTTTTTTTTATAATACCTGTTGGCTACCACAGTGAGATACTATGTTATGTTTAAAACTATTTTATCATTTTCTCTTACTTTGGCTTTCTATATTGATTTGACCCAAGTAATTTTCTATTCAATGCAGTAATGAACTATTCTTTGTTAACCAATGTCAACTAAGAGTTATGAGGCAAAGCTAAGAGAAAAAAAAAGAGTCGGGGGACTTTCAGGAGTGAGGGAGTGTTTTATACTTATATTTTAAAGTCCGATAATTTCTGAAAATATTATCTTTAGATAGTCATGAATGAGGCTAGGTGAAATTAACTTAAACTTCTCAGTCCAGGTCCTAACATGAGAGTGCTTCATCACAATAGCAATCTAATTCTCTGACTCCCACCTGCCAGTGTTTGAAAGGATCTGTATAGGTGGCTGGTGGGATCGAGATTATTCTGAGGTCAAACCAAAAAGCCAAGAAAGAAATATTGAGATGCTGTAGTAGTATTCAAGCTAAGACAACCTGATCCAAGAAAGAAAAATGGCATAGCTTTGGGTTCTTCAGTCACTGCTAAGAAATAAAATTAAAATGTTAAATTAAAAGGGATACATCACCTCTGGTGGTTATGGGGTTACTGGCAATTTGAAGTTAAAAATGGGCTAATTTCTAGCTTTGCCCCATACTACATGTTGTGCCATTACAAAGCATAAGAATACTAGGGACTGGTGCAGTTACAGGTCAGTTTTGGAGGCAGTTTTCCAACTCCTGTAGGAATTAAAGCTTACAAGAGATAGTCAGAACCTTCCTGGATCAGGACCTTAAACAGCTGTAACCATTTATTAATAAATGGGTATGATGAAAAAAGAAAGGGCTACATCGTAAGGAGTCTTTCACTGTAGCATACGTGATGTATTCCAACCTGCATCCATGAACATTTTAATTCCTTTAAAACATGAACCATTAAAAGAAATCTTTCTAATCTTCCATTGTTCTCATTGAAAGGAAGAATGAGACAGATGCCAATTAACTCTGAGTCCTGATATTTTAATGTATTTCCTAATAAGCCATTTTGCTTCCTTCTCTTTGTACTCTCAGACTCAGATTCCTATGAAACCCTCTGAATACTTCGCAAAGGTCCAAACAGGTTGCAGTCACAGATAAGTGAGGAAGACAAAGCTGGAACTCAAGCTATGTGAAAGCTTGAATGACTGCAACTGAAGTTTGATTTAATGGACAATTAAGCTGAATTTTTTGCCCTACTGAAGCTAACAGGATTTTTGTCACATACATTATTAGGGCCAGAATTTCACCTTTCCTTTTAAAGAAAGGATAGCTCTGGGCAAATGCAGGGATAACAGGATAAGACAAAGAGGACAGGAGGAGAAAGAGGAAAGGGTGAGGCATGTATAAAATGCAGCACTTATGGATAAATATTTACCCCAGCATATACAAAATAAATTGTTGAAATTTTTAATGTGTCTTTGGAAATGTTAAACTGTACCGAAGTCAGGAGAAGGACTTTTAGGAAGCAATTTTTCCTTTTTTATTTCAGTCTTTGCCTCTGATGTTTGGATACCATGACCTTGTTCTAATCTGTGCTCTTTAATTATAATAAAAAAAAAAGAGTCCACATTGCACTCAAGATGGTAGATACACACTTTTCCCATCTTTGGTCACTTGCCAGTTCTTAAAATTATAGCAGTGGGAAGAAATGCAAATGAAGTCCTTGCTTGACAGCTAAACATAATGGAATGCACGGCCTTCATTTGAAAAGTTACCTTAAAATAAAAAGGGACCATATCTAAGAATAATATCTTTGCGGTCACCTATGGATTTGAATTATAGTTCTGAAGAATTTCCAGTGTAGTCATCTTATTGAAAAGAGCCAAATAAGAGATGAGATATTCTGTTTTGAGGGAGAAAGACTAGCAAATATTATTTCAGAGATGAACAATCCTGACATTTGAAAAATATATATATTAATCAAGGTAAATATAGTTCTTCAGAAAAAATATTGAGCAAGGATACAAGCAAGTTCTGCTTACACCGGTTCTATGGAGTGATTAACATGATAGGTATATCTACTGTCTAGTCAAATAGCTTTATTGCAACTCATGCAAACATACCCATCTAGCTTTAAAACTAGTAACGGTTTAGCTGTGGCAGATTGGGGCTTAATGTAGGTACTTGATCAAATATTCACTCAAATCTTGGTTTTGCTAGGTTCCAACTGCCACAGCTACATGTTAAAACCAGACCTAACATATACAGAAACTGTGTTAGTTCTATGGACTACCATGCAAACGTATCCCTATCTAAGGCAACTTACTTTAGCAAAAAACTCGTGGTATTTCCTCTGTTTTCTGTGTTCTGAACATAAAGATTTCAGTAAGGTGGAGCAGTGAGTTCACACTGCTGTGATTTTCCTAATGTAGATATCAGAGAGGCTGGCTCAAGCCATGTGATTTAAATACAAAATCTCCTCAAGTCAGTTATGTTCTGACCAAATTCACAAATGGTTTATTCACAAATAAAACTAAATCCCTGGGGAAGCAAGGTTTGTTCTGCCTCCACTTATGTAAATGGAATCCCAGGCAGATGGGAGCATTATGGAGTTGGATCTTCATCTGATCTTGGACCTTAGACAATGTTTCCTGCTAACGGGTCACTTTTGGCCTGAAGGTTTTATAAACAAGTAATTCTCAACCACGGTGCTGTGGCACACTGGGATGCCCTCTGATCCTTTCAAGGGTTCTGTGAGATGCCACACAACACTTGCACTGTGAGGTGTGCAAACATGATTCTTGAGATAAGTAGTCAGACCTATTGTGGTCTTTCCACATTCTTTTCAAGAAAGGAAATGTACTTTTTTCAGTTGAAAAAAAAAAAAAAAACCAAACAAAAAAAAACAGTGTGTGAAATCTGAGACTTGCTAAGGGGTGCCTCTATCCTATCGAGGAGTGCCTCAAGTCTAAAAAGGTTGAGAACCACTGCCATAAATGATAACTATAGTATATGAATACGGATACAAACTACTTTTTCCTCTATTGAAAAAAAGGTTTATTTTGGTGTCACGGCGGGGTCCTTTAGGAGGGCCGTGATCTCCCCGAAGTCCCTCGCTCCGTGTCAAGGCCAGCCCAAGGCACCCTCTAATTCTCACCCGCCACGTCATGTTGGAGAGTGTGTGTGTGTGTGTGTGTGTGTGTGTGTATTAGTTGGGAGGCTGCCTACGACTCCCTGGGCACGGCTACTCGGGACCTCTGTCCCCGCGGTTCTCGGACCCCCTGGGGGTCTCCCGGTATAATGGGTGC